CTGACTCCTCAGTAATATCCATCCACTTATCCTTTTCAGTGTCGCGGGGGTCTGGAGCCTATCCCAGCTGTCATAAGCGAGAGGCGGGTACACCCTGACAGGTCGCCAGTCTGTCGCAGGCCAACACACAGAGACAGACAACCATCACCTCACATCACTCCTGCATTCACACCTATGGCAATTAGATTTTCAATTCACCTATACCTTTAGACGTGCTTGTATGAATGGGTGAATGAGCATGTTGTTACAGTGCTTGACTACTCTGGGAGAGTAGAAAATTGCTATATAAGAATCAGTCCATTTACCAATAAAAAAAACACTGCAAAACACACAAAACAAAATAGAAATAAGAAAAATGGTAACAGACATAGGAAAAAAAACGTAAATAGGAAAAACGAAAACAGAAATAGGAAAAAACAGATTTCCAAAAGCAAAGGGATGTTCTGGGAGACAATAACCCGACGACCATGCAGAACCCAAAACATGCTAGGTGTGTTTTATCATGACTCATATAATACTGATGATGAATTTTTAGGCTAATAGTTAGGCTAACACATATACCACTCATCTTTTCTTTCCTCACAAAACCGATAAATCCTCCACTTCTTTTAAGTGTCTCCCAGCGCAATTCTTAGCATATTTTGGTTCCTGCAACTGGTCCGTCAGTTATGTCTCCCCAGAACACTTTGTGCTTTTGCAAATCTTTTTTTTCCTATTTCCGCTGTCGTTTTCCTCTTTTCGTTTTTGTGTGCTTTGCAGCATTTCTATTGCTGTGTTGTCTTAAGTGCAGTGGCCTCTCAGGCCACCGTACAACACATGTCTCCCGTGTTGCGTGGGTTTCTCCGGTACTCCGCTTCCTCCCACCGTCCAAAGACATGCAGCTTGTGGGGATAGGTTAATTGGATAATCTAGATTGCCACTAGGTGTGAGTGTGAATGGTTGTCTGTGTCTCAATGTGTTAGCCCTGCGACAGACTGGCGACCTGTCCAGGGTGTACCCTGCCTTCGCCCTATGACAGCTGGATAGGCTCCAGCACCCCCCGCGACCCTGAAAAGGATAAGCGGAAGTGAATGGATGGATGGATGTTTCAAAACTCACAGGATTTTCACTCTTCTGCATTTTGTTTCCTGGAAAGACAAAAACAGTCAACTCTAACATTCATAGAACAACTTACAAATGTTATCTGTAAATGTTCTCACCTTTCATCTTTCCTTATGATGAGACACACAGCTCTTATCAGCAGTGCGACCAAACCAATAGCTCCATCGATGTACCACGAAACTAAAACTTTGATGGGGTTTTTTTTATCTTCACTAAACACTTTTCTTGTTTATTATGTGCTACTGCAAGTATTCATATATTAGTCAGTTGATTGTACTGTAGGGCAGCTCTAGGACAATCCCATGATGTGATGTAGCTTGCTTTATCCAGCAGATACGACATCTCATGAGGAGGTTCGAACCCTGTACCCTGACCTTCCCACTGACGCACAAAGCTGACATCCAGCAGCAGGCCCTTCTACGTGAACAACAGCACAACAGTTTCTATTCTTTAATATAGAAGTCAGTTATTCATTAATGAATACAAATGTGACTGAAGTTATTTAGACAGGACATTAAACAATAAACTTCCAATAAATTATGAACAAGTGTGAGGAATGTTTCAGTGAAAGACTTTGAAAAATCGCAGCATAAAACCAGTAAAAGTATTCAGACTACTTTGGGGTATTATTGATGATGCAACCAGAAAATGTGCAGTTCTGATTTAACATTTCAACCTGGAAAGAAGTACATTACACAGACTAGCTAATGAAAACATTTTTAAATTAACCTTTATTTAAACAGGTTTTCATTTTCTGAGCTTACTGGCGTCTAGTTGGGGCAGTAGCATAAGCAAAGAAGACCAAGACCTTACTCTCCCGAGCCAGCTCCTCCATTATTTGGGGACACTGAGCATTCTCTGCTGATGCGTGATCTCCCAACATGTCCTGGGTGTGTCCTGTCTGTCCTGGTGGGACATGCCTGGAACATCTCACCCAGGAGGCGCTCAAGAGGCACCCTTGTCAGATGCCTGAACCTCCTCAACTGGCTCGTTTAGATGTAGAGGAGTAGCAGTTAACTCATGCAAACCACATTTCTCCACGCCAGTCCTAATCAGCTTACTCAGTATCACTAGATCCAATGCTGCTCCTCCAGCAGAGCACACAAAAGTAGGAGAGACCGGAGATGCCATGGCTTAGTTAGGAGACTGTTTGCTTCAAGGCCACTAGAAGGTGCTGCCATAAAACTACAATAAATGAATTGACCTTTTGACCTGCTCACACTCTTTTATGCAAAACCCTGCTGATGTTACGCACACACACACACATAAAGAGATTCTAGGTCTGACCAACCGTCTCCGCCGTGGGCAAAAAGATGACAGTCAATAAAATTCTAAAATTTTATTTATAAACACAATGAATAATAGTTAAAAGTCCAGTGTCCCATTTAGGTACAAAGTAAAAACACACAGTCCAAGGCCAGAGCCAGCTATGCCACAAAGCCAGTTGCACTCCACACGTTGTTCACTTCAACAGGGGTAGCAATTGTCCTCTGAGACCCACCACCCTGTAAGTAGAAAGCCAGTGATCACTCCATCCTCTGCAACTCAGCTACTTTCAGGCTACAGCATATAATAGGCCCTAGCCTGCACAGAGCGACAAAATAAGACAATTCACTATATAATTCACAGCCCATCCATCCCAAACATATCAGATCATTAGCGGTTTTGTCACATTACATACCTGCACTGAGAGACAAAATAAGACTAATGACGCTAAATTTAATTACGGGTCATGGACAGCCTTCATAAATGCTCATATTACTCACCCACACTGAATTCCAGCACAGGTTCATCTGGGTCCTGACTATTTCCTGCAAAATAACACAAACGTCATCAGAACATTAAGTCAGAGAAACAACATTTGGAGCTTTTGTACATGATAAATTATACTGCAGTAGTAAAACAAAGTCAAGCAGCAGTACATTTATTAAAATCACCTTCAGCTGTAATATTTAAACTGATTTAGTGTCAATTTAGATTATGTTTAGATTAAAATGAAACTAGTACCCTTGTAATGTCTTTTTAAATTAGAGGTAAATATTTGTATATTTTTTTACATAATATAATTATATTTACTGGATTTTCTCTCTATTGTAGTTTAGTTATTTATTATTTTTTATTGACTTGTCTTTTTTTACAATGATTTGCTTTGACTGCAGCCTTTAAAGAAAAGACTATCTGTTCAGTAACTATCCATCAGACTGGGTCCATGTTACCAGCCAAATGGGTAATAATTAAAGTAAGTTTTGAATTACGTATATTTGGGTGTTTAGGTGACACTTTTGCAAAAAAAATTATATAATTAGGTTTACAAAAACTAAACATGTATGTATTTAAAAACAATAAGTGTGTTAGAATTACTACAGCAACAGGTTGTAGCTCACTGTACTGTTTTTGAGCACAACTTTGGCGCTTTTGCCTCATTTTTAAATCAGTGATCCCAGTAGCACAGTCTAAGCAGAGACCTCAGTGCTTGGCAAACAATCAATAGAATCAATATAATTATAAAAAGAAACAAAATAAATGCCAACCATATAAAAAACATAAACTTAAAAGAAAAAA